TGGTTGAGGTCCGGCAGGGAACACTGGGCGTGGATGGTCGTGGTTGAGGTCCGGCAGGGAACACTGGGCGTGGATGGTCGTGGTTGAGGGAGAGGGAGGAGGAGTAGGCGGAGGAGGAGATGGGGCTGACATAAAATCTAACAACCCTCACCTGACAGGTGGGGAAAAATGTGAAGCAGTCGTGGACACATGCACACGAGCATTGACGGCATTGACAGCACAGGTCTCTCATTCAAAAATTCCAAACACCAAGCATCTTCAATGGACGTTCTTTAGATCCAGGCATATGACTGAACGAGAATTGTGGTGGCAAATCAAGGGGCCCCCCGCGATCTGCTTGAAGTCGCAGGCTCGCCTGGCAGGGTGATGATTTGATTCGTTCGGTACAAGAAAGGAAGATCCGGAAGGCTTCTGGTCATCTCTATATCCTATGCACTGCTGATACACCCCTCTTTTCGGTGCATCCTCGCAAAAACAGGTGTATATGGTTGAACATCATCCTCTTGGTCGTTTCAAGCTGTTTGCCATTTCACATGATCACATTGAAACAGCTCCCTCGTGCTGCTCAGTTCCACTCTTCTCGCTCCGTGCCGCTCATGCCAGTCACTCAGGGTGTCAGGGATGGCCCACAACCGACTAGAGGTCCGCAGAAATCCAAGTCCGTTCTTCAGGGTCTTTCTCACTGAGCCGCTTTTTGGGTGCCGAGCTGTTCACACCTAACACCTAACCGGCCCGAAATCGATCTGTAAACCAGCCTGGGCAGTCCAACTCTACCTGACAAGCATGTGATGTGACAATCTAGAGACTCCCTATACACTTTGGCAGATGGAAAGCAAAGGAAGGTTCGCCATCCATCAGATTTGTCCCTCTGCTTTCCTAAGAATAAACTCTCTTTCTTTTCGTTGTTCTTGTTGGTCTTTCTCCTTTTTCGCGTTTGACCTCTAGACTTGTCCTTGTCTTTCTGTCCGTCCTTTCTCTGAAGGCGGCAGCACCCGCCTGCAAATTCACCGACTCCAAGAGCCATTTCAGCGCCGTGAACCTTGCGACCCACCGCGGTCCGCTCCGACCCACCGCTCCGCGGTCCGTGTCGTCACGCGTGCGACCCGGCACCGCACGACCGGTGACGAAGTCTGAGGCTGCCCACCGCACTGGAGCGTCCTGAATCCAGAAACACATGTACCACACACATGGCAGCTCGTTTCGGTCAAGTTTTGTGTGTTGTGTTCGAATTGTATTCAGCATACATGTGCACATAAGGCAAGGACCAGAATCTTCATCGAGGGTGTATGGATGTGTGCGCCATCTTGGAAGGAAGGTGGCTGGGTAAGGCTGACTCCTACTTCACAGAACAGCGCCTTCACCCACAACACCCCACAACAAGTACAGCAACCGCTGTCAGAAACGTGGGGGTTGTACCAGTATTATTTTCTTGTGCAATCTTGTTCGATCCGGCTTTTATGATGTGAATGCATGTAAAGCCCTAACAGCATGAAGAACATATTGACCTACTTTGTTCACCTGCGCACTTGCACATAGGGGTCAATATGGCTACAGTATTGATCATATATGCACCTTTTAGGGGGAGAAAAAGGCACGCCAGGGGCATCCATTTTCAAGGAATGGCCACTTTCAGCCCCTCCAGGTCGGCAATTTGGCCTGCTTTGCAGAGCCGAACACGAGGGAAGTCTTCTGGCCACCGATGCTTTGCCACGGATAGTTCGTGAACTGGGATGTTGGCACCCTCAAAGGTCTCTTGACCTCTAAGAAAATGCATCATTTCTCACAACCGGCGATCCTTGGCTTCCTTCCGGTGGCTAAATCGGACTCCACTCCACAGAGTCGCAGGAGGGACTGACATGACCATCTTTCGACGGTGCATTTGGCATCCCCATTTGTCCTACATGCGTTAAATCACCTTGGCATGAAAATTACCAGTCAAGATCACACATGCCGTCCCACTCGGACTCTGACTTCTACGACACTGTGATTCACATTCGCTGAACCCCTTGGTTTCTGGACCTTCCGTACCCGCGGCGGATTGAAGCCATCAAAGCTGCAACAATCTTTGCGAAGAGATGGCTCCTGGACAACGCAGCGCTGCGTTGGTCATGACCCCGCAAGAAAAGGCCTCCATATCAAAAGAATATGGCACAAGATCTGAGACTGGCATTCTTGCCAATGCCAAGCATATGCAAAGACCACTGAAGACGGAGTTTTGACCTTTGAATTGTCTCTTCCCTGCTGCCTCTTCTCAGTTGCACCATCAAACGTCGTTGGTCCTCGTCGTTGTCGAAGGTAGCAAAGCCAGTACATCACAAGGCCTAGCGCAATACTCACCAGGACCTTAGCTAATCAGACTGGTAGGCAGAGACTCTTAAACTGGGATTCCTAAGACAGACCTCTGGAAGAAGACTCGCTGGGATGCCCCCAGGTGAGTTCACAGGTGGGCAACCTGCATCAGTTCTTGGAGGAGGAGCATCCACCGCCCATGGTCCATTTACCTTCCACAGCTGATGAACTGCCCTCCTCCTGTCTCCCCGTTGGTGTGCATCTTTCATCAGACCATAAGAATTGACCTCGACCCTAACTCCGACCCAAACCCCTCTCTGCCCAACACCATCGCAAGCTCACCCAAAAAATGAAAACCCTCACTCCGGCATGGGACACCCACATAGGCCCACAAAGACAGAAATCGCAATGATTTCTCCACCGGCCGCACTGGCAGATCACCTGAAAAGCCAAGCTTCACTGGCTTCGCCCCAAAAAAACACAGGGCACTCTTCTTTGGTCTCCCCAACCACCGGGTCTAAAGTCGCTCCCTTCTTTTGGACCACTCCAAGTTGACAGATGTTAACCACGACCCCTTGGGTTGTGTGTGTGTGTGTGTCTTTTGGACTGTGCTTGAAGTCGAAGCCGCTTGGGTTTGTCTCAGAATGAGGAGAGGTCGAAGGGCAAATAGACTTACAGTATATAAACAGAATTCAAGCCAACATCCAGTTGGTGCGATCATAATGGATTTTATGTACGTTTGGTTAATAAACTTATTGTGGTTGAACCAGCTTTTGTCAGAGAACCTTCTTCATTTTCGTAGCCAGAAGAGGTCAAACTAACTCTCTTTGAAGCCATGGGGTTTTATATTGCTTACAGAATTGGCTGATCAACAGGAACAGTCTCCAGCAGTTACTGGTGCGCCTCACGCATTCTCAAATCAGGTGGACTGAGAAAAAAAATAATCAAGTAGCACCAATCAAGGAGAACATACTGTGGCAAGGTCTTTCGTGTTTTCAATTACGCAGACGCATACACCCCAGATACCAACTAACTCTTAAAACAAAGGCACCTGAAACAAAGAATCAATTACGTAGTTCACAACCAACCCAGAGAAGTGGGGAGGCATGAGGAAACAATGCAGCAGCGGCAAACAAAACGCCGATCACACACGCAGACAAGTGTGGAGTCAGGTGGGGAGACATGCAAGGAGACGAGTGGGGAGACAAGGCAGTAGCGGCAGCGGTCGACCAAAACGCCGATCAGCCACCTCATTGAGAAGTAAGAAACCTCATTGCGTTCAGCTATTTCGGGGAAAAAACAAAAAACAGCATCAATACTCCGGGCTTTTCCCTATCCCCAGGTGAGGAACTTCTTCTTTCCACGCCAACTCCCCCCAGCGCCTGGACCGGCAAAGAAGGGGAGGCCCATGACCTCCGTCGTGCTGGTGCGCGAGATGATGGTCGAGGTGCCTGGCAGAGGTGGTCTGGTGGGTGAACATCCTAAAGGAATAGGAACAAACCAGTCTACTTGAGTGGCGTATGTAACTCTATATATATAGATATATACTGTAGTATACTGTAGTATACTGTAGTTCTTGTTGCGATCCCGAGTGATAGGATGATTTGAATGCCTTGTATGTCGTATGATGCCACATCACGTCATGCCACAGTTCGTAAAAGGCTGCTTCGTTGCATGTCATGTGTGTGTGTGCTGTGCATGCATTTGCTATCATCCATAGTTATAGGCTATAGGCCAAAGGTACCCATGGCCGGAAATCAAGCTGGAGCACAAGGGCTAGCGTTGATGGACAAAATCAAGGTCACCCCCTCAAGGTCACCCTGAAAGTTAGCACTGACTATATACTAATAGATCAGTACCCTTAAAGCTTATGAGAGCTCTCTATGTCACGGAGCTGGGCAGAAACTAGGGTTTGGTCCTTCTAGTCACTCGCCGATCACTATAGTTTGAAACGGGCATGGTATCAGCAGGCATATAAAAGGTGCTGAAGCAATGACAGTGCAAGGCGCTGAAGGGCGTGGTGGTGACGGTGCTCCTGACCACGATGATTCGACAGCCCAAGCGCAGACCGGAACCCAGAGCAAACGAAATCTGGGTATGGCCAACGAGGGATCGATAAACCCAGGTGTTTGACTGAAAACAGATGAAAAACATCGGGTTCCTGGCAGTAAACATTGCACATACTAAGGCTACTAGGGCCACTCCTCTTGGTCAAAAGCCACCTCCAAACCCTCGACCGATGAGGTCCGGGATCTCTTGACCGGATCTCCTGGTTGAAGAGGTCACCGTATGTGTGGTCCAGGTCAAGGTGCTGATGGTTGCTGTTGTGGATGTGGTGCTTGAGCTGGCATGTTGCATAGCACAGTGCTCCAAGCCAGTGAAGGCGAAAAAGAAGGATCGGACGCCTGGGCCAGGCGCACCTGCGTCACTGTGATTATCACGCCAGGCTCGGTCGCCTCGGGCATGGTACGGCCGCTGGCCAAACGGGCCCGTAGCTGCTGGCGACCGTCGCAACCCAGGGAACCGGACTTCTGGCGCTGCGGCTTCACTTCTTGGATGGTCAAAAACCAAGGCCTTGATGGGAGTATGTTTCAAGTCAAATGTGCGAATTCAATTCATGTCCGATAGATTCCTGATTCGCCATGTTGACGGCTCCAAGAGAAAAACAGAACGATGACCTCCACTTTCGCGGGACAATTCGACACATTTGACGCCCAAGACAGAGAAGCCCGCGGCGCCTGTGGTGCTTGTCATCCAAAATCCCAATACCTGACCTGTGACCTGTGAGTCAAAAACCGAAGGTACAAGTACAGCCTACCAGCCCTTTAGCAAGGGCAAGTCAGTCTTCGTGTGTTGCTTTGCGTCGAGAAAAAGAAAATCGCATGTGTCACAGCACTGACCTGGTATACGTTGTCCCTTTACACTGAAATACGAGTCTTTTGAAAAATCCAGGTCCCGACCGAACCGAACCGCCGAACCGACCGAACCGCCCAAACCCCGAACCGAACACGCCGGCCGGCCATCGCGCGCAGACCCACTGATACACGGAGTCCGGACGCCCGAGACACCGGAAGCAGCGGAGTCCGGGCGTTCGGAGCCCAGCACCAGGTCAATGTGGTCGACCTTTCCTGAGTCGTGAGGATCGCCATCGGTCGTGAGTTCGGGCACGACATCGGAATCGAAGACTTCACGCCCCTTGTTATGTCCGATCGTCCCTGGGTTTGGGAACGGTTTTTCTCCCACCCTTCCAGAATTCACGGAAAAATACTGGCCTGTCCATACTGGCCTGTCCCTTGTGAGAGGCAAAAATACCTTCGGATCTTTTGCTTTGCCTTCTGCTTAAATGGTGTTGGGCTCCAGAATAAAACGAGCTTCCAACTCTAGTTCGGATTAGCACACGATGAAATCTCCGTGTTGACCCGATCCAGTTGAGGCTGTTGAAAGGATGTCTGCAAGCGACGCAAAGACACTGGTGATTCGACCAAACCTGTCCATCGACGTCACCAGGTTCAGTCGATTGGGCTCTCGCAACTAGATCTGCGAATTCGTTGAGTAACAAGTGCCACGCTAGTAGTAACAAGTGCCTTAAATAGTAGTAAAAAGAAGCTAGTAGTAACAAGTGCCACGCTAGTAGTAACGATCTCGTGGCGCCACGATGACTCCCCATCAGTGTCACGTCTGAAGCACCCTCAACTCCGTATCTCTCCAGTCAAGGTTCATCAGTTGTTCCACCTCTCAGTTGTTCCCCCAAACCATTGAGCTTCGATGAATTCGTGTAGACATATAGGGAGATGATCCGGGAGATGTACATATTTTGACTGGTTTCTCACACAAGCAACCCGCGAAAGCAATAGTTTGGGTCAGTCAATGATAGTTGGCTACAGAGTGCCACTTCGTGACATGGCAGTGCTGCCTTACATGATGAAAGCTCTTTTCAATTGTTGTGTGCATTGCATTCATATCGACCCTTCCCTACCATCACATTGCATGGCACACTATGCCAACAGGACCACGACTCCAACACCCAAAGTCCATATGTCACCACGGTTCCAAAGCGCAAGCTCACGCAGGTCCTTTGCTGCTCAGGTGTGAGTTCACCAGCATAGGTCGGGTTGCCAGCCCCCAAATCCGTTAGAGAAGATAGCTCCTTCCTGTAGGGATAGTTCAAGCTATACTCCACGGAGTCGCCAAATGATCTCAACTGCAACTGGGTATTCTTCGCCCAATATGCCTAGGCCAGGCCAGGCAAAAAGTCAGTGAGATGCGAAAACAGCCACGCCCGGTGTTTTCGCCAAAAGCAACCAGGATTAACCAAAACAGCGGGAGCATCAATTGAAACCAAGCAACTTGGTGACGTCCAAAAGCTCTGACGTATTCCGTGGAACTGGAGCCGCCATCCAAGTCGCACACCAAAAGGTCGAAACTTTGCAGCCAAACCGGCGCATTGGCCATGTCTTTGAACCTCGGCTGAGACGATGTTTCTTCCAGATTTCAGACAGGTCACTCTTGAAGAGAAATCGCACATCACGTGCTGAACAGCGACACCAAAATACACTAAAAGGGTTCTTGGGGCAAAAGGAGGCCAACTTGAATCTCAATCGAACATCTCTGCCAGGAAGTTCGTTGATGATCCCAAAGTTACCTTGAAGGCCGTTCCATTCCGCCGGGTGAGGCTCATAAGCACTCATGGCATGCAACGAGACCTGGAGCGCACGACGGAGTTCACGACATCGTCGTGATAGTGCGAGGAGGTTCGAGTCCGGCCGTGGTCGCCCATCTTAGGCCCATCCGGCGGTGCCGTTGCCCATTGTGATTAAATATGAATGAAACGAAGCACTTCGTAATCATCCCCAAGCACCAAGGACGCTACGAACGGGGCTCCTGGCCTTACTACTTGGAGCAAGAAGCTACGAATGGAGCAAACGGCATCACTAGGAACGGAGCGATCGGACGCTACGAACGGGGCTCCAAGCACCAGGCTCCGAAGTCTCGTTCCTCGGAGATGCCTGGAGACGTTCGTTTCCCCCGGCGCATCGGACAAGAGATTCCCACCTTGAAGTCCTCAGTGTCTGAGCCATAGGCTTCTCTGGTGACCAGGTATTCGATCGTCTCCTCCCCTTGGTCAGGACCTTTGCCTGCCAAGTTGTTCTGCAGGATGGCCTGCCGGAGTCGTGAGGCACAGCAAAATGGCTCGAAGACTCTTCTGGACTCGAAGAAATTCTGTAGATCTGAGCTCAACAAAGCAGAAAGCTGTGGTCATTCCATGCAAACCCTGCCTTGATCGGAAAGGTCACACCTTCCTTCAGGCATTCCGGGGAACGCAAGGCCACATTGGGCCCTCCTGTTTTGGTTTCCCCTTCCAAGTCCCGAAACTGATCACCGGCCATCCTCAGATGACAAGGGTGCCGTTGTGGGTTTGTCTCATGTCTGGTCAATCAAAAAAACATGGAAGGCTACAAGAAGGATGAAAAGGAAACACGGCCGTGAAACCAAAGTCACTGTTCCTAGTTCCTTGCAATTCTCATACCATGCAAGAATGCAGCATGAGAAAGTCGGCCATCGGTCGTGCAGCGCCCTCCCGTTCTGTCCAGGTCACTTGGCATGTTTTTGTTGTTTCAAGTGCTTAACTCCCACTGAAAGAGAGCTGACCATCGCAGCCACGATCAGCAATGCTGCAAACAGCCTTGGGCCATAGAGGCACTGAAATGTTCTTCAAGCAGGAATCAACCACATTTCCCCTGTGAACGCCCTGAAAGCCACAGGTTCAAGCACTCAAGAAATTCTGGTGTTACATTCTGATACCTCTCTGAGCAAACATCCAAAATAACATCAAAAAAGATCCAAGTCCCTCATGTCAATGACTTGGGCGAGCCACTGCCAGCTACCAAGACTTGGGATGTGAAGCTCCACAGCGTTTTGACGGCCATCTGCAGGTCCTGGGCGTGGTGACAAAACATCGATCCAATCCCCCAGGTGTTGAGCTCAGCACGAAACGTTTGCAGAACCTACTGTCTTCAATGGATTCAACCAGAAGAGAAATGGCAAGTGCTGTGGTCTGCGGCTGTATTTGCACTTAACACTTTGCCGCATCCTGCATCTTCACCTAGTGTCTCTCCTCCTCTTCTCAGGCTCCACAGGAGAAAGCCTTCCTTTTTTCATGTGTTCAGGCTCACTTCAGGATCTCAAATCTGCGTTCAAGCCAACAAAAGTAGATGAGAAATCTTCAAGGGCCTAGCATCTCTTTGGTGGGTTCTCAGTTCCAAAACACCCTGTGAGCGATCGTTTTTGTCTGGCCAAAGCGCGTGCAATTAGGCGGCGTGACTCCTCTCTCGCTTGTCGTCCTCGAAAGCAGGATGCTTGAGATGAGGTGCAGGAGAAATGGAATTGCAAATACTACAAAAGGACTTTGGAGGAAGGCGCAGTGACGCAGTGTGCTTCTCAGGTGCATGGTGAAACACACAGGTCAGTGGAGAGGGTGGTCCCCACAATCTCTCCACCTGAAAATTAATAGAACTATATATACTGTATATATATATACTAGTAGCGTCCTTGTTACTAGTAGCTTCTTGCTCTTCGTAGTAAGGCCAGGAGCCCCTAGTAGCGTTCTTGCTCCTAGTAGCGATGCTAGGAGCTACTAGTAGCGTCCTATATGCAAATTCTGCTGGAACTCTCCAAGCAGTACATCTCTTCCTTCAGTTTCACGTCGTCCAACCCACCCGGACGAAGACGTGAAACGTCGCCCTTGGGTGCCCGCCTGGAGCGTCTGTGCCAGAACGCCACATGATACATGCCCCAAAGAAGAGCGCAAGGCCATCAACCGGCCGAAGTGCCCGCAGTGCTTGGATGTGAAGCAAGCTGACTCGAGAACCGGAAGATCTGAAATTGACTCGAAGCTATGCAAAACTATGCGAAACTACGCAACTTAGTGCTTTGTGCTTGTCCTATGTGAATGCCTTCCTGGGTATTATGATGGAGACTTTGACAGTTCTGCTTGCCTGGTGAGAACCTCGGCACTTGACTGCAGGGTTGTAAGTCAACTTGGTTGCCACATGTAGCTGACGTTGAACTGCCAAACGATACCCTTCTCTGTGAATCTCATGGTCGGTCCACGCTAAACTTTCGAGCCCAAAAGCACAGGAACGGCTGCTGGCTGTGCATAGCTCAAAAGCAAAAACCTAATCATCTGGGTATCACAGATTCTGCCCATGTGTCCCCATTCACCCCAGCAAAGGGGTGGTGCCCCACTTTTTGGGCCATGGCACATCTAATCTATCTATCGCTGGCGCCGGTGGTCGCCCCCATCTCCTCGGAGCGTTGCTCTCCCCCGGCACGGCAGCAACGCGCCACTGTGGAGGCCGCCTGAGGCGGGAAATGGGCAGCCGAGGCTGACCGCTTCGACGACCGCCAGGAGGGATGCACCCCATGGGCCCCATGTCAACGCTGAAATCGCAAAAATCCTGTTTCGCTCAGCTCTCAACATTGGGGAGCCTGCATGCTCACCTGCTCCTACCTTGAACCTGTGATACTTGTGCTCCAACCCACCCCTCCAGCCTGGGAGATCGCTTGCTGCGTTCGCTCGGGCCGCTCCGAGGCAGACTTTCGGATCTCCTGGGAGAGAACGGCCGTTCCGGACCTCGGACCTGGGACCGTTCGGGCGCGACAGCGAGCAGACAGCGACCGGCCAAGGAACTTCTGTTTTTGGTCGGCGTTCGCTCCTCCAAAAGCCCTTCAAGACATGCTTGGGCCTGCAGGAAAGCCAATTTTCTAGAGCTAGAAACAGCTCCAAGAATAAGTGAAACATGAGGGGAACTGACAGAGTAGCAGTGCAGACTCTTTCTTTT